AAATAAATAAATAAATAAATAAATAAATAAATAAATAAATAAATAAATAAATAAATAAATAAATAAATAAATAAATATTATTACTTCTTGTTGTGATGAAGAAGGTAAATGAACTTGTTGTGCAAAATCCCAAGATAAATATAATTCAATATCTAAAGAATTAATTTTTCCTGGTCTAATTATAGTTTTTTTATCTAAATTTAAAATATTAATTTTTGCATTTTCTATACATTTTCTAAATTTATTTAATTTATATAAAATTAATAATAAATTTTAATAATATAATTTTTGATATAATATATATAAATATATAAATACTTACTTATAATATTCACGTTCATTATTTGCATCTTCAATATGCTTATTCCATTCTATTATTTTTTGTTCTTTTTCAATTATAGTCCATTTATCAATATTAAATCGCATAATTTTACAAAAATAGCATAAATCACTTCTTGGTGTTAAAAACTTAATTTCAGGTAAATAATTTTTAAAAATTGTTTTAAAAGAATTTAAACTAATATATAGATCTTTAATATCTTTATCTTGTTTAATAATATTTAAATATTGTCGATATAAAGATATATAATTTTCAATAGCTGGTAAAAAAGTAATTTCTATTTTTTCTTGTTTAAAATGTCGACCTTTATAAATAAATAAATATTAATAAATATATTAGTATTTATTAAAAATATTAAATTAATTAAATAAATAAAATAACAAAAATTTATAATGCAAATAGCAATTTTTTAAATAAAATACCTAGTGATGGAAGTCCCCATTTATTAGTATAACTTAAAATAAAATAATTATTTTTATAATTGTAGAAAAAGGTATTGTAACATTACTTAATTTTCTAGCAGATTTATGAATTCTAGCTTTAATATCTTCTTGTGATAAATGAGTTCTAATATTTTCTATTCTTGTAGATCCAATTCCATAAATAAATTTAAAAGCTTGTAAACATATTTCTTCTGAATCAAAAGAATAATCATAATGTATTCTAATTCTTTTATTGCTCTTAGAATTTTTTTTTAAATTTGAAATACCAATAAAATAACCTATTAAAAAAGAATCTTGATTACTTTTAGATAATGATTGAAAATTAAAATTTCTTAAAAAAGCTTTTTTAGAATCAATTTTTTCTTTTAAACAATTATTTTGACAACAACTTGTTTTACTTATCTGTTCTATAAAAACTTCTTCATTATTATTATTAGTTATTTTTAACTTTTTAAATTCATTATTATTTAAATTATTCTCTTCCAAATTATTAATAATTTTAATTTTATTATAAATTTGGTGATATTTTTGTAATTGGTATTCAGAGATAAATAAAAACTCATCATTTTTATCATTTTCATCTTCTAAAATTTCATCATAATTTTCTAATTCAGAGTTCTCATGATCAATATTTACAAAATGTGTTTGAAGATTAAAGAAATCATTATGTAAGAATTGAAGTTCTTGGTGAGTTTCAGAAAAAATACTATTTAATAGTAGATGGGTAGAATTTTCCATTTTTAACTTAAAAAATATAAATTATCAAAAATATTAAAATTTAAAAATATTTGTATTGTAGTAAAATTTACTAAAAACTAGCAAGCTTTAGCAAATTTTAAGAAAATACAAGTGTCGAGTGGACTATCTTTTATTTAAAGAAAATTAAAAGTAGGATAAAGAATAAAAATAATTAAACAGGATTTAAATTCAATAGCCTCCTAGATACTATAAGGAGTTAGCAATAGGCAATTGTGTTTGGGGTCAAACCTATTGTCCAGTTTGTATAGGTCGGGTTTAGCAAAATGCTTGCTCTATACAAGGATTACTAGACTTAAAAACTTAGAAATATCCTAAGATATAACCAGAAGAAAGAAAGCACTAATAATCAGATCATCGACAGCTATATGTGACCTTTAAATCCTAATAATACAAAGCTAGTATTTGCCAAAATACTATTTAAGAAGACAGCTTTCACTTTATATTATTTACAAGAAAAGCACAAGATTTATTAAAAGAAAAGATAAAATAGGTAAAAAAGATAAATAAAGAATAGTTTTTATTGATAATGTCAAGAGAAGATAAATAAAATATAAGTTTATTAAAGAAATTTTTAGGTAGAGACAACTCTTGCTTTTTAGAAAAGCAAAAAGCTAACCTTTTTATAGCTTTTTAGACCAATATTTGATTGGTTTTAAGGCTACCATGTGTTGTAGAATATTTTTAGACACCCCAAAACGTTTGGAAGGCCTTGGCAATATAGAAAATCCAAGTAGAATCTCCTAAAACACCAATAAAACAGCACCGAGCCAATGCCAAGCCAAACCATATTCATTAATACTCGGCACTCTATTACTCAATAAATTACATATTAACTAAAATAAAACACATATCATTGTGTAGCCCTCATGTTGATCTACAAATCCTATTATGGTAGTTTAATGTTTAGAAGCCTTCTTAAACGTGTTGTCATATAGCTAACTAAAAATAACTATAATAAATATAAGAAAAATATAGAAAAAATATGCTAAAAATATAATATATGTTAAATAATACTAAGAAATAATAACTAACTATAATATATGAATAAAATATAATAATAATTATTAAGAAAAATAAGAAAAAAAAAGAAATTCTATTACAGTATATTTATAATTTTTATAAATTTATAAAATCAAAATAAATAGTTGCATACAAATATTTATACATGTGTATTCAAGTGTCAAATCTAATGAAATAAACATTAATAATCAAATTATAATACAGATCCCAATTATTTTCCATTATTAAATTCTCTGACAATCACTTCCTTAACAACTATTTCCCCAACATATTCATTTCTCCAAAATTATTAACAAACCATCCTAACATTAATCACCAAATCATCCTTATATCATTTACTAATTACCTAATATCGTTTCAATATTCCTACCTGATATCTATGATCGTAAAGTGTCTTCATGATCATTATGTAACATCGTTAAGATTCTTAACGATTTCACGTGATGATCGTGAAGACACTTCACAATCATGAATTGTTGGGAAAATAGTTGTCGAGGAAGTGATTGTTGGGGAATTTAATGACGGAAAATAATCGGGACCCATTATAATACAACAGAGTAAAATCCGTGTTAGTAAAATCTGCTATGTAGATCACATGAGGGTGAAATTTGCTTTCATAATAAAAAACGTAGCGGTAGCTAAATGTGAATTTCACCCTAACGTGATCTACATAGTGTATTTTACTAAATTTACAACGTGGGTTTCACCCAGTCCTATTATAATTTTTTTATTTATTTTAACGTCATTTTATAATGAATTCACCTGCAAAATTGTCTATCATCGGGTTATAAAACTATATTAAGATATAATTTAAATAACTTATTTTAAACTATACATACTATCCATACGAGTCATCCAGAGCAACCATAAAAAACGCTGATAACGTAAGATTAGTTAGTGCCACTTATTGGCTTTCTTCTAGCTGCATATTGTAAATCTTAAAAATAGTTTATCGCTATTGTAATCCAATATATACAATGGCACGTCATAATCATGTTATCGCGTTTTTTATGATCACCCTGGGTGATTCCATACTACGTATACAATTTATTAAAGGGTTTACTAATTTCCTCCAACTTCTGATTGGCTGTACTAATTGTTATTAATCAAAAAAATTTTTCAAGTAAAAATTTGCGCTGTTAGGCTAGAGTTATATTTTGCCGTTAGATTATGATTAGAAGATGTTACTTATACCAAAATTTTACAAAGAAATTTTTTTATTAGTGCGCGAAAACAGTTTCATAGATTTAATTTAGAGTTATAAGCGATTTTTATGGTTTTACATTTTTTTTTGCGCTTCTTTTACGTTGCACCTGATCGTGAAAATTGATTGGCTCCGATAAGTGAATAATTAGTACAGCCAATCAGAAGTTGTGGGAGACTCTTTATTAAAAGCATATTAAAAAAATTTTTTTTTAATTACCAGAGAGCATCTTCAAACCCATCGAAAACAATTACCAGAGAACAGCTTCAAACTTGCCAAAGAAAATTACCAAAGCACAACTCAAAGCTCATCAAAAAAGATTACCAGAGAACAGCTCCAAACTCGCCAAAGGAAATAACCAGAGAACAGCTCAAAGTCCGATGAAGAAAATTATCAGAGAACAGCTTCAAATCCAGTGAAGAAACTAATAGCAATTTATAAGAAGCTGAAATAAATTAGAGTAGGCTTCTTAATAGAAAACTACCAGAGAATAGCCCCAAACCAGGAAGAAAATTACCAAAGAACAGCTCCAAACCCTGCGAAGAAATTACCAGAGAAAGCTCCAAACCTGGCGAAAAAATTACCAAAAAATAGCTCAAAGTCCGGCAAAGAAAATTATCAGAGAACAGTTCCAAACCTGGTAAAGGAACTAATAGAAATTTATTAGAAGCTGAAATAAATTAGATCAGGTTTCTTAATATAACCCTACCAGAGAACAGCTCCAAATCCGGTGAAAAAAATTACCAAAGAACAGCTCCAAATCTGGTGAAGAAACCAATAGAAATTTATTAGAAGCTGAGATAAATTAGAGTAGGCTCTTAGGAGTAGTGATTTGAACTGGTTGGGCTATAATCGGTTAACCGACCCGACCCGAATAAATTTCGGGTAACCGATTCGAGGTAAGAACGTTGATGTTATTACGACTGATTTTTCACACGGTGTGCAACGTATAAAAAAACAATTTTACAATACCG